TTTGATGTGAGCAAAAAAATAATCATACCAGTTAATCGAGTTTTAATTTATACACTACATTAACTCACAGATTCTTTGTCGATACTAAATAATTTTCTGTTTTGCTTTGGTTTATAGAAAAATCCAAGCAATCTACATACAAATATGCATACATATGCATATACATATCTATATTTTCATAACTGACAGGTGAATAATAGATATGAACATTATTGATCGTTTGATCGATGTTTGGGTAGGCCTAGGGAAAAACTCTGCCAAAATAGATTAGTTCAGTTTTGAAATAAATAATGGATTATACTAGATATACCACATGTGTGGATGTGTAGTCAAAGGGGTTTGAAAGTGCTTTGGGAATCGCAAACAGGATACCACAGAGGAACACATTGCTAATTCGTAAATAAATCTCTTTATTTTAATATTTATTTCAGCTATCTTAGATGATGCGAAATGCCGGAAGTGGAGCCAGTACAAACTGCGATAATTTTATGATTGAAACAGTCAACATTCATACACACACGTACATAGCATAGCATATAGGTAGCCAGCGTCATCACCGTTAAAGGCATTACCTGAAGCTTAGAGATTTGCAACTAAATTGCCGTATAATGATAAGCGAAGCAAGAAAAATTCACCAAATTATGTCTATTAATTATAGGAATTAGTGTTTATAGAAATACTAAGTCGGCACACTATTGTACTGTCATAATTCTGATAATCATTTTTAATGTACTTTATGATATTCCATACGCTTCTACCTCGTAGATTCCTTTATCCATTGTTGTACGTATGTGAACTATACACTCCCTGCAGGGAAATATACTCGTTGTTACTAGAATCCAAATGGTTTGCATTTTGCAAATTAGGCTAAACTTTCTAAATGCGGTCGCCCCTCTGCAGGGATTGTCCAACCCTCAGAGTGCATTTCGGACATGAAAACAGGCTCCTCATAAAAGAACTATCAGCCGTTCGGAAGCGGCTTAGTATTGCCTGTAGATCCCTCCACAAATTGGAGGAGAAGCTCGTTACAAAGTGCCAATTATATATATTATATATATATATATATACAGATGTTAGCAGGGGATAAGGAGGAATCAGAATCTATTAGATGGCGTCATTTATCTATATCTCACGTTGTATAAGTCCGATCAAGTACCGTTAGATGGCGTTAGAAAGATGACAAGCTTTTCTCAAAAGTTTTGTGATTGGTTGATTCAGTTTTGCTTGAGCCTGCGACAAAGACGGGCACTAGCAAAGTGAAAGTACGCTATACTTTGCAGCTTTTCTTCGATAAGGGCGAAACGCAATCCAAGTGGTTGGTGGACAGAAACGCTGGTACGGTACACAACAATAACACATATACAACCAATTTTTCAGATTGAAGATTTTGATACTGAAATTTAACGAAATCGAACAACTATAATTTATAGCTCCCGTAGACTGATTTTTTGGTCAAAATGTAATTTTGTATTCTACACAATATCATGTAAATCGGAAATTTTCATCATATAGCCATGAAAGGTATAAGACTTCGGCATGGCCGACAGTTCTTCTTACAGAGGGGTAGACACTAACTGCCGATGAACCACCGCAATAATAGAGACCTTTTTGTTATAATTTAATATAGTACCCCTCTTATCCCTCTTATTCCTTTTTGCAAATTTTGGAATCACCTTCTAATCGTCACTTGAATTGTTTAAATGCTTTGCCCATTTATCTGGGAAAGCGCGGTATTTGGAGAGTTAAGACAAATGAAATCAATTCAAATAGTTATGACAAGGGAGTTAAAATCATTTTCGCATTCAGGGCCCTTCAAGTCTTAACCCTTAACGAAATTTTTGTAGCATTGTAATTTTTCTACTAATTTTCAAATATTAATTTGTTTCGGCTTTGGTCAATATCAAACAGGATGTGGAATGTTGTCTTCAATTGTTTTCTACTTGGGACTGTTAACTTATGAGTTTTCTAGTTTTATTTTTATAAATAGAAGTATCTGTGCACAGACATACATACATATTTATTTGAATGTTGTCAAAAGTTAAAAAAGAGATTTGGAAAAAGTTAAGGGAGACCAGTATTTACACTAAAAATATTCGTATTTACATATTATAATATAAATACTACATATTTATGTGCACGTATTTATACAAACATTCCTATGTACGTAGGTATGTACGTATATTTATATAGCCCAATATTATAGGTTTTCTTATAACTTTACATTTGTAACTTACGAGTTTAAGCACTACTAAACGAAGATACACGTACGTGTTACACAGATCCCGATACCCCAAGCAATTTGACGAGCCACATGAATATAATTCTACCCAACTGGTTATCTCAGTGATCACTAACAACATAATTAAATAAAACCAATTGGTCTGCATGTTTTATTCTTTTTATTTATTCGATATTCATTTTTATGTTTCTGTTTTTATTTTGACTATTGAGGTAAACATCGACAGAAAATATAGACAAACATAAATTGAATATGAAATCAACCACAGTCGGCATGTAATACTATTAGTCATTTCTTTAGTGGTATCCACCCTCATCCACCAGCCGAAAACATGCCGCCAACAACTGCAATATGCCGAAATGAATTGAGGAGTTAGTTTTTCTAGGCTTTTGTTATGAGTAACAACCATTTATACTTGTTCTACGTTTGATATCGACTTTTGTGACAAGTAACAAATAACGCCTGTAAATCCAAATCGCAATACTATATCTACATAAGCTCTTACATACAAGCGAATACATATGTTTGTGCACATTTACATACACGTACATACATATACATATACATATACATATACATATATACATTCTGCCGCATCTCTGGCTGTGGTTGTCAGATTTTGCATTAGAAATAATTTTTAACTTTTTAAATGACAAAAGTAAACCTTGATGAAAATGCCATTAGCCTCCAAGTTGGAAATGACAATGCTGACGTTAAAGCTGGAGAACAGCTTGGCGGCTTCAGTGGCAAAGATGAAGGTGTCTGCCGTTAACGCTCAATTCGCACTGTGTTACTGTGGCAGATCAGATTGACCACGGCGTAGCCTTTGACCTCGTTTAAAAATAGCTAACGTCAATTTTATAATGAACAAACGAGATGTTCAATTTTCCTGACTATTTGCACATTAACTTGCACACATACACATGCAATATATGCATACACGTATGTACAATATATACATGTACATAAGAAAGTATGTATTTTGTGGACGCCTTTGGAATTTGGACAAGAGCAATTCGGTATGCTCAACTTTCCTTTAGTCAATAGGTATCTTATTTCACCGTAATAAAGCGGTTTTGCGGGGTTGCGTTACCTTAATTGTCTACTATTCTCTAATAATGAATACAATTAACAGAAAAATATTACATAAATAAGACACACTCCCTTGACTCTTGACATTTCCATTGTCCACAAAAAAAAATTTCAAAGTATGACCGTCAGTCAGGCCGTTTCGAACGGAAAAGTTATAGTTTCGCATGAATTGTTTCGCCAAGTTGGCACGGACCTCGATCTAGTAAAGCCTCCAATTCTTCATCTTCAGATTCTTTGGGTAGGCCAAACGCCCTTTGCCTTCGACGCCAAAATCGTTACTTTTGAATCATCGTAAGCACTCTTGACATGATTTATCGGTAGCTGGAGATTCACCATAAAATTAAAACTTTGTGGTTTTATGTATTTTGTTCAATTTAAAATTTATAATTGGTGTTATAAAGGAGGTAATTGGCAAAGAAGACGATGCTGACTTATTCGATTTTAAATGTGTTTCTAACAATGACTTCGGATAGGCACTACTAATTTTGCTGAGAACCACGCCAAATGATTTAAGGGCATGTACTTAGACCTAGGTCTCTCGTTTACCCGTCGGACAAACGTTTGTGAAATAGTGAATAAATTCAGCCACCATGACAAAATATCCGCAAATGAATTAAGGTTGATAAAAGTCGACCAGAACGCGAAATTTGGTTGTCTGTAGTAGCAATGGCATAAGAACATATAGCTTGCTGGCGGCCACCTCATCGAAGAGCTCGTAACCGATCGACCATGTTACGATACGCGGAAGACATATATCCAGCATCCTAGAATTGCGAAAGCTCAGATGTTCTTATATCCACACGACTTAAGCGGGACGCATTCGCAGACACAAAAAGAAAAAAGAGAGAAACTACTCGACATCGATAGTGAACAAAAATTCATGGAAAAAATGAAGGGACTTACTGCTAACTGATGCTTAGAATATTCGGACTTTATAAAGGGAACACTACTAAATAGCAGTGAAACTGCAACACCCAGAGCTGATGAGCTCGTATTTCCAAAATTCTATATTATTATACAAGCGTATGGCGATGGCGATGACATTGATATCACCGTGCAGTTAGTTTTACTCTGTCCATATTGAATAAGGAAGCGAAGCGTACTTATCTGGTGGATAGTTGCGTATATCTTTTAACTGAAATGCAACGCGGAATCACACTTGCCAATGCCTTCTTTTGACAAATAAGAACCAAACTCTACAAATCGTTCATCATTCCCTCCCTACTGTAGGGGCGACCCGACAAATCGTCATGGGGAGTTTTCTATGTAGTTGGTTTCGCAGTCGATGGAACGGTGAGCTGTACGAGATGTACAAGAACATTACCATAGTTCAGCGAATCAAGAGACAGCGATTAGGTTGGCTTGGTCATGTTGTCCGGCTTGACGGGAACGCTCTAGTTTTAAAAGTATTCGACACACTGGCCGCAAGTGGAAGAGCAAGACCTTCGATCGGAAAATAATAAAGCCCTCAATCCACATATATATGTATACTCGTATCTAATGAGTTTAACAGAGGCAGCATCCCACTTCTTACGTTACAGCAATGAGTTATTTGTGTAATCGGTACGCGGACCTTACTTTTATCTATATATATCTTGTTTTAGAAAACTTTCAGAGAGGTAGGGTCCACCCCTAGTGGAAAATTTTTACAAATTATGTAAGTATTTATTTGAATTCCATTTTAATCATTTTATTTACATTTATATTTAATTAATCTGATAAATTTTAAAATCACTCGAGCGTAAACCATCTATTTCGATGTAGGTTTTTCCGTCATTCTGGGATCAGGTATTATCGGGACCGGTGACAATTTGTTATCTACCCCATAAAAACGCCCATTTAGTTGTAAACGCTGTGGAACAATGGGTCTAATGAATTAAGAGAAAAATAATAAAATAGCTGAAAATATCGATAATAATTCAATTTAAAAAAAAATATACACTTTTTGTTGGTCGGAATATAGACGAATGCGTATATATGCGGACGGTATTTTGGTGAGGAAGTTTTGCCATCGTAAACGCAAATATTCATTTTGCTTTAGTGACAAAACCTTTTCGCGATGATCATTTCTAAAAGACAATAGTGGCAAAACTCTATAATAGTCGGCTTTGTGTTCCGCACTTTGCAGTTTACTAGCTTGCTCCAATTTATCGTCATCCATTCCAAATTTATCCGATTCTTTTTCAAAAATGACGCACAGGGCTTGTGGTAGATAAAAATTTGGCTCACACATTGGATAACGCACTACCATGTTAAGTTATTGCTAAATATGCTTTCTATCACTTCAATTTATTTAAAATAATTAATCAATTTAAAAAAAAATTCATTACAAGTCAACTAGGGATGCAATAAAATACATAAATGAAAAAGGGTTGCTCTGATTGGAAATTATTTTCGAAGCGAATTACTTACCCGGTAAAAGAACGAGAAGAAAAATGTTGATTGTATTCTCGGAATGATCCCATTTCCCGACCTTTTAATGAATTCAATGTAATCTCGACTTGAGTTCTCAGTCTCTAAGACTGTATTATATTTTCACATGTTGTAAATATGGCGTTTATTTGTTTCTCATGTGAATAGTTTTTGGAACCCATTGTTAAGGTCTGTAGACTAAGTATATAAATAAATTAATAAATAAAATCTAGTTTCTATTGAACAGTGAATATATGTACATATATATGTCATAATGTCTCTTAGACAGAATATAAAAGAAACACGCCATCATGCATAAGGAATATATGTTAGTTTTACTCAGCGTGAAAATCCACGAAATCGTTAATTATTTTGACATATTTCTCCAAAAATTTAAAAATATATTAAATATTTAAAATAATAATAATACATAAGATGAATAAAATACTAGCTGTGAACCTCTATAATTATTGGAAATATTTTATACATACATTTAAGCGCAAAAACACAAACAGACGTGTATGCATGTAAGTGTACCAATACCTCATGCTGAGTCACAGAATTCATTTTCATTTGCCAGCGCTAAATACATATTTACGTAAAACAATATTAATCGCATAATTCTAAATTATATACATATATATATAACGCCAACACTACCAATCAATCAATACAGATAAATACTCGTACATTGAATTAAATGCACAAATCGTCAGATTCGGGTAAAACCAAAAATTTAGCGAAGCATCCGTTTCATAGTGACGACGATGATGATTTCGCCAATAAATTATATATTATATTATACATACATATGTAAATACAGTACATATGTATATGTACATACGGATATAATCATTTGTACCAGCATGTATCTAATTCATATGTATCTCCTATTTAGATTGATTTAGTTATTTTTATTATTGTATTTATTTGTATCACATGTATATGTACAATACATATATACATGTAGCTCTCATTTTGCGTGATTTATTTCAATTTTCAAAAGTTGCAACTAACTTTACATTCATGTGCCTCGGTATATCGGCTGATGGTTTTTTATGAGGAGCTTTACTTCATGTCAGAAATTCACTTGGAAGGATTGACATTCCCTGCCGAGGACGGACAGCAAATAAATTTAACTTAATAGTCGGACCAGGACTCGAAACCTGGACTTCCAAAGGATGGGACGCAAATACATTACCTCTTTAAGTGCATCATAGGTGATCAGTTTTTTACCCCTCAGCACTTTCCTCATTTTTAGAAACAGGTAATAAGCATTCAGCATTGAAAAACACTTCACTATGGTCCAGATGAACACCTTATGTGATTAAAGCTAACAACTCCTAAGGTAGATAATATATTTCGGTTTTGCTCAGGATATACGTGTACATGTCTTAACTTCTATGGGAAAAGTGGGTGTGTCACCAAATCATCTCTACTTTTCCTTAATTTTTATTCATTAACTTTATTCGAATGTATACAAATATGTATATATTGTTTTGTTTTTGTTATTATTTGTAAAAAAAATAGTTTTGGAATAAAAATATGTAACACACCTTAATATTTTTTATAAAAAAGAAACCGAAACAAAAATACAATTATAAAACTTTTCGACAAACCAGCAAATTGAGTTAAATAAAGTTATAAGCCATCCGTCATCCAATCCTGCGGTTCTGTTGGAGTAGTTTCTTCCTGGCGTGCCTTGCTTCCATTAGAGATGCTTGCTAAATTTGCCACTAGCGGCTTTGTACTTTGTAACTCGAGCTGGTAGTCCGTGGCTGATAAATAGAATGGCCGAAGATATCGCACGTTGCAGTTGTAATTGCCGTTCAGTGAGAATTGGGAAAGGTCGTTAAATGTAGTTGTGGTGGAAAGGACTATGAATCCTCCGCATATTTTATTATCTTAAACTCCGGGTGTTGACTCATCGGATGTTGATATTCTTCACGCTTCTGCACCATATAGCAGACGAGAATGATGAGAAACTTGCGAAACTTAATTTTTTTTTTCATTTGTTTACTCATACTACAGCAGCACTTGCTACTGTGTAGGGTTTCAAGGCTGAAATTACTATTAGTTTTGTTCGTTGATCAGATGAGCAGCAACATTTTTAACCAAACCTTACTGCATCGTGTTCGTTGGGCCGAAGACCCTGTAAAAATTGGTAACGAGAGAGCGCAATTTTGACGTTTAGTTGGAGAGAAAGTTGCAAATTTATGATGGGAACATTTGATCCAGTAAAATCTAGCAAGAATGAAAACTAGCAATAGTAAAGGCATCCGTTAAACGAAAATGTGGCGGCAGTGCAGAGGAATCATCGCCCGCACACCACTCAGCTTTCGTTGAGAAATTAGAAGTTAGGATGGCATAAAATTAGAAGATATTATTATTTCTAGTCCAACGGTTTATTTTGGATTTCTACAATATAATTTACTTGAAAGCAGTGGCGAACAAGGAGTCGCATTACAAATTCAAGGTAAAGTTGCTACTATGGCCACAATTAGGAAAATGCATTCTTGAACTTCCGGAAACGATGACGATGCACAAATGAAATATTAGGAGCATTAGGAGAATCCTCGTTTTTTCGGAGGACTTTTTGGAGAAATATATTGATATCTTTACCGTTGGACGGTAATGAAGCATATAGAATTACATCACTGTTGAAATACAATAAATTTTGAATATAATTAATCGGGGGTATTATATTATAGAAACCGACACAGAATTGCTTATTTATCGGAATTAAAAATCAATATGTTTGAAATGGTGTTATGAAATCGACTTGATTTTGCTTTTTTCGAAGATAAGCAAAACCGATATTTCAATCAGCTGTCATCACACTTCCGAAAAATACTCGTACACTATTTGTGATTATTAACTAAAAATAAAATGACTTCGGCGGTGATAACATTTTTTATGATAAAAGAGTTTGGAGAAACCATCCAATATCGTCTTAACAGAGAAGTATTTGTAATAGCGCTGGATGTCATTGAAGACCAGTTAAATCAGCTGTCTATCCCCCCAGTTCTCCAACTTGCAGCCACACTGCGGTTTTTGGCAGAAGGCTTCTATTAAGGATCTCTGGGACTCGAATATCTCCTTAGCGCGGCCTACAGTCTCTGTGGCAATAACAGAAGTGGTAAATTCTTTTGAACGTATGAATCTCCCACGCTGGATAATTTTAGGAAAGACCGACATTGTAGAACGGAGAGCTCGTAACCATTTTTACTTTAACTACGGTTGGTTGTAAAATACATTGTTCATGACTTACATTTTTATTAAATTTCCACTTGCAAAGAAATTTGCACACCATTCTCTCAACGAATATCTGATCGGTTTAATTCTGAAATTTAAACCGATAAATCGGTTTCTGTAACACCTTCGAAAATGAAACCGATATGCAAACCAATAATCGGTATGTGTAACCCCTTTAACAGAATTTTGTTGGTTTCAATTCTGATTCCGACAACAATCTGTTTCTGTAATTAAATTGAATTGCTGGGTTCTTTGAACAAGTGTGATGACAGCTGATTGCAATATCGGTTTTGCTTATCTTTGAAAAAAAAAATCAATTCGGTCTCAAAACTTTATATCAAACAGATAATGGTTTTCAATTTCAATAAATAAGCGATTCTGTGTCGGTTACTATAACACACCTGATTATTAATGTCAATGTTGGCCAAAACTATCTACTTCAAAGTTATGACTGAACTGTACCATTGCGAGAATGCATTTATACGCGTCTAACTAATAACCATGAGAGGATAGCATCAAATTCCAATGAATATGGTTAATTATCGTTGACATCTGTTTTATAATATAATTTTTCAATAAATTTAAAAGTAAAAATATTTCACAGGTTAGTAGAAGTAGCATAGCGAACAGAAAATATGAATATACCGGGAATCATACGGATATGGCACCTTTACACCTTTTTTACTTTATTAAAATCCCATGTGGCAACCTACACTACGCAGTCAAGGTTTATTGACATTTCATAAAAATGTCATTATTTTAGTTTATAAGTAACTTCAGTAAAATTTAACAAATTACTGGATAACGTATAAAATTCTTGATGTGTAAGCTTTATAAAAGTGTTCAATTTGGCTAACCTTTTGCTCTAGATATACTACGTATGTTATTAGATTCAATGGTTCGATGACCATGAAAGTTCTACAGCTAAGAGTATGTTTTGTTTTGTAACTTAGATTCAAATTTAACCTTTAATCTGTTATATCAAATAAAATCCAAAGGTTCCAAAGGTAAGTTTGGTAGATTTCAAAGAGTTATTAGATTTACTATAATATATATTATTTATTTCAATTGCCGCAGCAAAAATTCAGAGAAGTAATACAACTATTTGTGCTATCAAATGATTATGACTTATAGATAAAGAGGAGCAGAAGCGAGAACACGATAACAAGAGGTGACTAAGAGCACACCTTAATAAACTATCTGCGTATAAATGAGTGTTGTTCAAGATAGCAATAGCTAAAATATTGCATATATTTTCCAACAATGTTAATTACAACAGTTTCACTAAATACAACAAAGATAGTCAATCAAAGAAGTCATGATAAACAAAATAATCTAAAAATTGTGCCAAACCTCGTAAATAAAATCATACGTATGTCATACAAATGTAAACGATAGATTCAATGTATTATTTGTATGCTGCGCTATTAAGAACTGAGCGAACACCAAATTAGCACAAAACGTCGTATTCCAAATAGTTTACAAATTTAACAGCTAAGAAACAATTTATTGGCATATTACAAGAGATTGTGCTGTTCAAATTAAATAAGTATAAAGTAAGTAACTAATCAGCTATCACTGTGGAGATATCAAAGGATATTGGACGTAGAAAAACGCGATTTTTACGTAAACTAAACCAAAAACTTACGGCAATGCGAACGAAGCATTTTATTTTAATACTTTGCTGTGTTATAATTACGACTATATTTTTCATAATTTTGGGACCAGCGGGGGAGCCCAACGATTCTTTAAAAAGTATTGTTACTCATACACACCAGCAACTAAACAAACTACAGGTAAGTGAAACTGTTTTGGAGTAGATATACATACATGTATGTATGCTAATTGTCATATGTACATACATAAGTATATATGCACCAAATATGAACAAAATATTTTATTTTTTATGGAAGAGGCGCTGTAACTATTAATTGCTGAAGTTAATTAAAGAAGTTAGTAGCGTGTTGATTGGGGTCTAGTCGTAACGATGTGATTGTTTCTTACAATTTCTTCAAGATTCACCATAGAGTAATAGTTAAAGAAATTAATCATAGATTATTTGAGTGAATTTAATAAATATTTTAAAAACGGTTTATAAAATGCAAAAGCTTCTTTCCATCGTAGGAATTATTTTTTTTTTGCATTTTAAAACGACGACTACAGAAATACCACAACACTTCATGTTTTTGAAGAGCTCAGCTTTCAAATATGTCTAAAAAATATGAGAGTTCAAAGTACATATATATTTGTACATTAATAAGTTAATATATATTAACTTACCTATTAAAAATCGTTTCAGCTACGCACATGTCGAATTATAAATCATTGTTCCCCAAATCATTCCTAACTTGAATTGAGTCATAACTCAAAAAATACTAATTTTTTTTAGTTGACAAATTTACTTTCTTTTGTAAAAAAAAAGAGAAAAACATAACATTCCTCAAAAAACAATGGCTTTTAACATATATGTACATATGTATGTATATATGTAATATGTATAATGTTTTCCGAAAGCATAGCAAGTTTTTGTTATCAGTATACAAAATATACTCACTAAATTGTATATTTAGCTCTAAAAGTCAACTTTGTAAAGTAAATGAACGATATCAAAATAATGATGTGCCTAAAGTAAATGCTATATTTGTATTTTTTCTTTTGCAGGAAAATTTAAGGGTCACAGAAAAGAAGAAACTTCAAATAGACTCAAAGTATTTGACATTATTGGGGTTCACCAATTCGATATATACAAAGGAATCCGAAGCATATAATCATTATAACATAGAAAGTGGCATAAAGTATGATGGAGGTCGCCAAATTGCACTTCCTCAACAAAAATCTTCATACAATCTAAAGGAAGACAATATTCCCGACGACAAATCATTTGTAGAGATAATACCTTTTAATGGTACTAAATCAAATTTTTCCATAGTAACGTACGTACTGGATGGCCAAGCACCTTTAGCAATATTACTTGCTCAAAATGTTGCTGCGAAGTTCCCGGAAGATCATTTACTAATATATGATCTCGGCTTATCAGAGGATGAATCTCGGGGATTAACAGCTTATTGCAACATTTCCAAATGTTCAGTTATAAATTATGACCTATCAGTTTTCCCATCGCATTGCTTAGATCATCGCATGCACGCCTATCGTCCGATTGTGATAAAAGATGCATTGACGCGCTCTAAAAGTATTTTATTTACAGAGAATTATATTCGCTTTCGAGGTGGTAACCATGAGCTGCAAAAATTACGGAGTAAAGCTTTAGTTTCTGGCGTGTTGAGTTGGAGTACCGCAACTGCAGTGTCTACCCGCACGCATCCAAAAATGTTTGACTACTTTCAAACGGATGCTGACGATTTCATTTTTCTTCGGATGATTGATCTCGACGTAACTTTATTCTTGGACAGCCCTTTCGTAGAAAATAATATAATGTTGCCCTGGTTAAAATGTGTTTTAACATTGGAGTGCATTGATCCCATCGGTAAGTATTTTTCATAAATGCATATTTCTCAACAACTGCATACATACATATTTATGTAGGAAGTAGTTAGATATCAATTTAGACAAAATTCATCTATTATATGTGATATTTTCACAGGCTGATAAAATAATACTCCTTCTTAACATGTCAATATTGATAAAAACTAAAGTCTTACTCCATAGCCAAACACGAGAGAAAGCGGAAAACAATTTTAATTTAGTTGATGTCATAAAACAAAACTTGCATTTTTTGAGCTCTTTGATTTATATTTTATGAACGTTGAAGATATACAAGCAATTAATAAGCATGCACATACACATGTATGTACATACATGAGTAATGTAACTCTCACCGCGTCTTAAGCTTTCTAAGCATTAATTATAGTATAATAGTTTACACCTTGTAACGTGTAGATAGTCTGAGAAATGTAGGAAGCATAAGTATTTTCTTTTAGATAGTTTTTCAGTAATAATTCATAATACAATAAATGTTTTTATTTTGAAATGACAATTTCGAAATTCCTAACAAACCTCAGCGAAACAACAGCCTACTAAAAATTGATACATTTTGACTAAAGGTGTTATAAAAAAGAATTTAAACATTCTCCAAAAAATATTAGGAATGTCCGCGTAAATATTAGTTGCGGCAAATATGTATTCATTCGGCTGGAGATTGTAACCATGATGACCACTCAACATTAAATGCATATCATAAACTGCGTAGGCTGCTCTATAAGTTGTAAGGGAAACAAGCACGTAGGCAATGTGTATAAACGAAAAAGAGGAGAACACAATCTCCGTAAAGTAGTGGCCAGTCACTGATACAAAAAGTACCATTAAAATAGCATTGACAACTGAAAACTTGTAACGGCTCTGTTCCGAATAACCAACCAATGCTAAAAATTGTGCGATGACTATTAGATGGGGAAATATCGCCTAAAACAAAATAAAAAAGAGTAATTCTTAGTACATATATAAGTACAAATGTAAGGGTTTCTTGCCAATTGGGAATTTATCCAAGTGGCTAGAGCACCGGCTTCAATGGCCATCAGCAATGTTACTATGACAAATGTGATAACGTTCATAGGTGAATATCTCCGCATGTCACTGAACAAATAAAGTGCTATAAGAATACAAAACAATACTCCTCGTATTCCTTGAATAACACCATGCGAAATGGGATCAAAGCAAAGAATGAAAACTTCAATAATCGGTAAAGTTAGAATATGTTGAATCTGTAAATGAAAACATTACTTGCATTTAAGTACATATAAATTACGTATAGAGGGGCTTAAAAATGTAAACTCATATCTTACTAGTAATGTAATAAAAACCTTACGAGCAAAGGCTCGCCTTAGGACTGGATCAGGTATTTCAAACTGTTGGACAGTAGTATCAATCGCGTATACTGGTATTGTCTCCTGTGCACCTCCTACTGCTCCAGGTTCTATTAATACGGCGTTCGTGATATTCATATTGGCTGTAAAGATATTTGTTTCATACAGCTCATATGAATTTAAACGAATTTTACCTCCCTCTTGAACCTCCATTTTGCCTACATTCGGAATTGTATTATTAAACATAACATTTGGTACTATATTGTTTGCGTTGTAGGTGTTCACATCTCCAGGCTCCTTGTATTCATACATTTTTATATTTTTATTTCGTACGTATGTATGCAAATAATTTATAAAAGCACATAAAACAATTATTTATCAAAGTTGTAAAATCAAAAAAGGTTTAAAACACTTTACTCGAAGTCCCCTTTGCAACTGTTCGCTTCGAAATAATCATCTTCTCAAAGAATCCAATTACACTAGCAGACTCCAGACTTCATGGCGACAAATTCGAATCATGCGCGTACAGTAATTCAATGTTCTACTTGATAAACGCATCACTTCGTCACAACTGATGATGGGAAAACTCAAATATCCCACGAATCTTATGGAGTTGTTTATCTTAAACCCCCTTTTTTTTGTTAACGAGCATATACAAAACTTACAAAATTATCTACTCGTATATACTTACTTATATTTTATGTCATGAAATTATAATTATAATAAAAATTCTACTCCAAGGCATGCATTTAATGCAAAATTTATTAACAAGGTAAATGTAGATAGAAACAGACGATTTTTGAGAGTAAAAAGCAATGAAAAAAATTTAAGAGAAGAGTAAAAACTTTTGCTGGCTTCCCATTCCCCTTATAACGTATACATGAATGTTTTAATTGCAAGAAAATCTTTTTGTCAAAATAACATTCGCTACCCACTCGGTAAACTTCTTAAATGGTTGGTTTTTTCTGGCGAAGGCTCAAGTTTGTGCCCTATAAAAGCAACAACAACAAGGTTTATTATCTTTTGTTCTTTAGTCCTTTGGAGGCTTAATTTTTTTTGTTAAAAAGTATTTACTTTTTATTTTTTTTGTGGCTACTATTTCTACATGCTCAATTTTTTATTAATTTTTTGGTACAAAAATCACGGCAATTCTTAACATTTAGCATAGAATTTTTATTGAAATAAATGTGGAATGTATGTATGCCATTTCGAACAAAAAAGGTTTATCAAAATCAGTGTACTCTGTAAATAAAATTAAGTGCTAATACATAACTATCAGTGAGTCATTCCTTCATTCCCCCTTTAAAAAATTAAATAAACGCAACGAATTTTAAACTTTTACCTATTTTGTGAGTTACAAGCGATAAGCACAAAGTGTTTCCAGTTTTTACTGAACCTCTAGACTTCTTCTTTTGGTACTTACATACATTTGTAAGTTTTGTATTGTTATATATGTATACATACATATCTTCTTTTTCTTCTTTATTGGCGTTGGTACCGCTCAATATTAGCGCGCCATTATTCTCTTCTTTTCGCTGTCTGGCGCCAGTTGGAAATACCAAGCCTGGTCACACTCCACCTGAACCTTCCAACGGAGGTCTTCCTCTTCCTCTGCTACCACTAGCGGGTACTGCATCAAAAACTTTCAAAGTGGAGTGCTCTCATCCATTAAGACGACATGATCTAGCCAGCGTATCCGCTTTCTCTTCATTCGCTGAACTACAATATATCAATATCAAAAGTATATGTACCTTGTACAGCTCACCGTTCCTTTTGCCGTTGCCAATGCGCAAAGGAGCATAAATCGTTCACAAAACTTCCCTCGAAGACTCCTAGCGCCGACTCATAGACATCGTCCACGCTTCAGCGCCATATAGTATGACCGGTATGATGAGCGACTTGTAGAGTTTGGGTTTCGTTCGTCTAGAGAAGACTTTACTTTTCAATTGCCTACTCAGTCCAAAGTAGCACCTGTTGGCAAAAGTAATTCTGCGTTGGAATTCAATGCTGACGTTATTATTGGCGTTAGGGTTGGTCCCTAGATAGACGAAATTATCTACGTCCACGAAATTTTGACTGTCAACAGTGTACTGAATCTATGAGCCGAGTCCCGAATGCTATGACTGTTTGTTTGATGACAGGAGATATTTCGTCTTGCCCTCATTCACCACCAGACCCATACCCTTCACTTCTTTATTAAGTCTGGAGAAACCACGGTGCGATTGTTGAAGCCAATTATGTCGATATCATCGGCGTAAGCCAGCAGCGGTATTCTCTTGTAGAAGATTAGACCTTTTCTATTCCGCTTTGCAGCTCGTATTATTTCTCCAACAATTAGTTAAAAAAGTCACATGTTGAAGAGTCACCTTGTCTGAAACCTCGTTTTGGTATCGAACGACTCGGAGATGTCGTTCCCAATTCTGACTGCGCTTCTGGTGTTGTCTAGAATTTGGCGCATGGTGAATATCTGGTGAATGATAAGGTCCAATCAGTTTGTTGACGGTGGGCTCGTCTTTCACACAATACGCCTGATAGGACCTTGTATGCGAGGACCTTATTCAACGGTAGTTGGCGCATACTGTGTTCCAATGGTCGGGCATGCTATCATCCGACCATATTTTGCACAGAAGCTGATTCATGCACCTGATCAGTTCTTCACCGCCGTATTTGAATAGCTTGGCCGGTAATCCATCGGCGATTGCTATTCGGACTTCTTTCATTTTCACTGCCATTTTAGCAGGCTGAAGAAGTGTTCCCTCCATAGATTCAGTACACTCTGGGCATCTGTCATTAGCTCACCCCTCTGGGTGCTATTAGAGTTTGCTTCGGTCTTAAAACCTTCACGTACATACATATACTATAAAATAATTTAAAGGTAGTTTCATTTTCTATTTTCAGTCGGCTTCATAGGTATCTGTTAAATGTGTTTCGACTCTCTTCTCTTAAAAAAATGTATAAACATTCAAAATTACTAATTATATTGTATTTCCCAGCCCCTGATGGTGGACTTTATCCAGTTTATACCTTTCATGAATTCAAGAAAACGAGGAGCAGGCTGCCTTTCTAATTCTACATTTAAATGTAAATTGGTCTCACAGTTTTAGAAATGTTTTAAAGAAACATTAGGTAAAGAAAAAGTTTGTTCGGTTTTTATTTAAGAGATGACGTTATTATCCGTAGTACTAGTGTTACGTGCCGCATCATGTAATACTATACGGCGCCGAAAACGTGTTTATTCGCGCTAAAAGTTTGCCTTTGACAGTTTTTCGATTGATTGACTCAGTACGTTGTGAGCGCTAGTCAAAGGTGGACACCAGCAAAGAGAAATTTCGCTATATATTACAATTTTTCTTTGGTCAAGGCAAAAAAGCAGCCAAAGCGGCTGGAAAAATTAATTTAGTTTATGGGTCCGATTTGTAAACGAACGTTTAGCACAAAAGTGGTTTGCGAGGTTCCGTTCCGGTAATTTCAATGTCAAAGATGCAGCACGCGTCGGGAGGCCTGTCGTCGATAATTGCAATAAAATCATGGAAATAGTGGAAACAGAAGAGGCCATCTTTGATCAACAGAGCCCGAACTATGTTCCATCAGGATAACTCCAGGCCACACACGTCTTTGGTGACGCGCAAGAAGCTCCAAGAGCTCGGATGGGAGGTCCCAATGCTCCCACCTTATAGTGAGGACCTGGCACCAAGTGAATACCATGCTTTTCTGTCCATGGCGAACGCGCTTAATAGTGAAAAGTTGGCCTCAAAAGAGGCCTGTAAAAATTGACTCTCCGAGTTTTTTTGCCAATAGGGACGCAGCCTGCTACGAGAAAGGTATAATGAAGTTGGTATCTCTTTGGCAATAAGTTTTAGAGCAAAACGGCGCATATTTGACTTAAATCGGGCAATTGTACACAAAGTTATCATATTTTGAAAAATCAAAAAAAAACTTCTTACTGGACCTAATATTTTTTTTAATAATTGTTGGTTTGTAAAGGAGGGCAAATTCATTATAAAAATTTCATAATTACGGCTAAAGTCGATTAAACTTCCAAACACTTTTTAATTCAAATGTCTGCTAAAATATATGTAGCTATATAGTTGCGTCACACTTCGCAATTTTTCGCTCTGTAAAAAAGATTGTCCAAATCTCTCTTCCGCTCCTCACAAGGGCAATTAACATCTTTGACAACAAAATCAGTTCGAAACGAACTTTTATAAAAATTGAAGTTCTCCTTGAAGCAATATGCATACATAAATCGCGCTGTGGTAATTTTGTCATTTTTAGTGGCAAAACAGAAATTTTCTTTGGTTATTTTATCTAATAACAACAGTAACAAGTCTAATATAACTACATAATATATGAATTTACATCTGAAATATGAAATTAAATGGACGATTTTTCTTTAATTTTAGGTGCACAGTGGAACGGCTGCAAGTATAACAAAAAACCCCAGTATCGATACTCTGGATGTCATGCTTATGACGTTTCGGCTTTCAATATTGTTTTGGGTCTAACATGGCACTTAGATGCTTCGAAATACTCCATGCCAAGCGAAGAAACCAATTTTTTTTATAAAGAAACCTTGGAAAAGGCTACTAAAATACTAGAAAATAGGCGACTTAACAGCAGTGATACATCAGAGCACACCATAACTGAAGAGTAGATCTAAGTAATTAGAAATCTTTGTTTTTAAAGAGTTAAAACAAATATTAGTTATTATTTTGGAAAATTAAGAGTCCACAAAAATTAATCTTTAGTATTTAAAAACTATAATTGATAAATATATGTATTTGTATATATTTGTTTCCCTGCGAATGTAGAAAACCACGCCTACATGCTTACTTCTCCTGTTGCGAGCCATACCAGTAAAAATTAAATACTGCAAAACCGCTGAAAATACTGAATAATCGCTTATGTTCTATAATTTCATTGATATGCCGAATGCTTTCTCCAGCATAAAATAAAAAATACTAGGGATCTTAAGTGGTAACGTGACGAGTAGTTGCTGCGCTAACTGTTCAGGAAACGAAATTATTGATCGACAGAAAAAAATGGTCTAACAAAAGACCAACCGCGTCTGCGATATGAATGATTTGGTGTTTTATCATTACCGGAATCTTGAGGGATTGCAATAAAGGCAATTTTTTATTCAAATTTTGATGTTATATGGGAGTATGAACGACTTTTGAGAGTCACTGTACAGTTAATGAATGTACAAAATGTAATATACAGTGGCTCAAAAATGAACTCGGACACACAAGTTATTTGACTCAAAACAAAAAAATATATAATAAAATGCAAATAGAGGGCTTTCTGATTAACATATATTTCTATTCTCCAAGTGTATTTTTCAAAACAACCGTAACCATAAACTAAATTCAACTCGGTCGTATGAAAATAATATGAACAGAGCAACTTAGCAAAACTGATGACAAAAAAGAACTCGAACATATGCATAACATAGAATTTAAAAATGTTATTTAAAGAGAAACAAAATATTCTTAATATTTGGCCGGCAAGCCTTTACTTTTTCTGATAGCATTCAGTCTTCTCTGCAGAGATTCAACTAGCTTCTTGCATGTTAAAGAATATACTTTCCCCCACTCATCCAAAATAGCGGCTTCTAGGTTGTTCTTATTTCTAATAACATGCATTTCCAGTTAATTTTCCAAATGAGCCTACAGATGTTCAATTAGGTAAACGCCGGGAGATTGAGGAGGTGTTTCAAGCACTTTAGGGCAGTTATACATCAGCCATAGACTGACATCAAGTTCTTTATGTTTGGGATCGTTGTCTTGGTAGTACTGGAAATTGTCTTTAATTCCGAACTTTTCCGCACTTTGCACTAAATTTTCTTTCAAAATGGTCAGATATTGCTTGTGGTCCATAATACCATTTATGAAACACAAATTCCCAGTACCAACTGCGAACGTACAAAACCATACCATTACTGAGCCGCCCCCGTGTTTAACAGTCGGACTTAGCAACTCTTCAGGCGGTTTTCTCCAAACATCTGACCTAAATATTTTAAATTTTTTTCATCTGCAAATATAACTTGTTTCCAGAATTGAAAATCCTTATCCCCATGACATTTTGCAAATTATATTCGATTAGCCTCGTTTATAAATGGTTTCTTCCGTGCTACTCGTCCATTATAATAATTTTTTCGTAAGACTATTCGGATACTCTCCGCGTTATCCACTGCAGACGAAAACAACTTCGGTCGTCCAGACTTCTTTTTGTTTTCCACTGTTTTTGTTTGTTTGAATCGTTTAATCACGTCATGTACAGTCGAGCGGGGTCTGCTCACAATTTCTGCGATTTCCCGAATGGTTTTTCCCATTTCAAAATGACTAATAATTAACTTCCTTAATACAACAAGCTTTGTCCACGCTGTCTACCCATGTTTGAGCTTTTCACCTTTTTTTTTAAAAAAAAGAACTACTGAAATTTTATTCCAAGCTATTACGTTTGATTATATATGTACATATGTATTTTTAAACAAAAAGAAACTAATTGTGGGATTACCCTTTTTGAAATGCCAAGCAACTGTAATATTACCAGATGTCCGACTTCTTTTTTGGCGAAATATCTAGCATGTCACATGTTAAATTTTTGAAGTAAGGGTATAGGAGACCTATAAACTATTTAATTTGTTTGTTATTGGTATTTTTTAAATCCTAATTGGATACCCTATAGAAACATAAAAAACAAAAATGCTTAATATCAATTGGTTAAAAAAAAATCTAGCTTGAAGTTGCATGTTAATAACAGTGGAATGTATGTCCGAGTTCTTTATTGAGCCACTGTATATATATATATACATATGTGTGTGTATGTATTACCTTACGAACATAGATACACATGTAACAGTGTATAAGCTTAGGCTCAAATTTGCAGCCGCGAAATCCCCTTCTAAATTTAACAAGGGCTGGGACAAACAGCTTTAAAAAATATATAACTGTGTTATTAAGGCTCTAATTTATTTTCCTGCAAATAAACTAAAAAAAATAATTGATTGTCCAATAACATGACATCAATATCGAATACAATATTGTGGCTATGTTTACTTGGCCTAGCTTTCAGATTGCGCTGTGCTTTTGCTTACGATCCAAACGATACGAAAATTGCCTCAGTTATTCCACCCGAAGGTTATTTTGAGGCATTTTATCCAAGGGAAATGGATGGTGTACCCAACAGCGCTTCCCGTCCCGCTCATGCCCACGGCAGTTTCTTCAAGCATCGCAACCCAGCTTTGGTGGACACAAAGAATGCAGCAGCTTATGGATATCGTTTCGACGGGAAACGACGTTTTAACTTAAAATAAATCATAACATCATCTACATCTTCGCCTCGGACGATTTCTTATCAAATTTTGTTAGTTTAAATAAAAATACACGCTACATTTGTGTGTGATTCGCTTTGTATATACAGTGACGGGCACAAAAAAGTTACAAAAAATAAAAAAATATATTGTATCCAACATTTATCGCTTATTTGACGACTTTAATTCAATTCAATTAATTGTGGGATAGAACCGCTTGCCTTGGTTATAGTATTGACTGTAAAGTTCAACTTTAGGTTTAAAGTTATCCTTTCTAAATTGTTTTCGTATGTCCAAACTTAAGAGTCAGACGTGATTCTAAGAAATTCTTTAGGCAAAATCCATATAATGGATTTTTTTGACGTACATATTGCAGAGAAAAAATTTCCTGATGTGACCCAGAAAATACTTAAGCTGGTACATGCTGAACCTGGGGAACAGAAGTCTCTTACTCAATGAGCTGAAAAGAAGAAACGTATTGCAAACATTTAATTGAAGAGGAGTCGGAGAGGAAGGCGAATTAATGTCCCCGAATCAAAGGATTAAGTTAAATTTTCGAATTGCGGTCGTCCCTAGACAGGGAATGTAATAAAAAAAAACATCGGCCGTTCGGAGGCGGCTCAGAATAAACTTTAGATATCTCCATTTGTTGGAAAAACATCAAGACGCATATCAAAATATCAAAAATTAGAGGAGGAGCGCCTTTTGTATGTTAACATGACTATACCTTCTGAATAAGCTTCTTATTTCAGACTAGAATACAGAGAACTTATAACATATTTCTGTCTGCTCACTGTTAGAGTGCGGTGAAATACGCTTTCAGATTTGTGTGTTGAAATACGCTTTCATAACACGAGCCAGCGGACCAATTTGATAATCGGCACATCCTGGTGCTTCTCGTTATTATAAGTTCTCTGTAGAATATAACCAGAGAACGTATAACATAGAGAAGGTGCAAGTACGGACCAGAGTGGAAATTGTCAAAAAGCACGATTACTTCGTTTCACGTAATCGTACCACACTCCTCACATGATTCGCAAAACTTGCTGTTAATTAAAAGAATTGAGCGTAACAGTATGTTAATTTGTAAACATAATGTAAATTGATAACATTGATAAAAATAAGGAAAATATCGCAAAATTTGCCGACGGCAATTTAATTTTTGCATATGTACATGTGTAGGCCTAACTCAACTTAATACGAAATTGAAGTATCCTCACTATCGTTTTCAGCAGGTCAATATATCTACATTATACTCATAATTCATAGCTGTATTCCTATTAGAACAGATATTATTCATATAAAACCTACCAAAATTTGATTGGGACACATATGGAAGGCTGAACTTTCAAACTGCTCTCCTGAAAACTTTGAAAAATTGACTTACGAATGCAACCACATTAGTATATGGAAAAATGCGTTTTTTCTGTTTTAGCTTGGGATTCGCACTTCATCCCTAAAATCTAGAATTTTTGCATTTTGCCCAGCTTACACAGAGGACAGACAACTTGAATTTACTTGCTTCCCAATATGAGCTAATAGGCAAACAGCAAATTTAACAGCACGATGCCGACTTGCTTTAATTCGGCAGACAAAGTCTGAATTTTTGTCAAAGTCGCAAGAATTTGAAGCAATGCTAGTGTATGCCACATACCAATGTAGATTGTTGTTGCTTCACATTTCGGGAAGATGTACGATTTGCTAATTTTTGTTACGGGACTTTTTATACCCGGCTATACTATGTGACCAGAGTGCATTGGATTTGTTTTGCTAACGGTTTTAAAATAATCAAAGTAAGAATTTATCAACTATGTAGAAAACTTCGTGGAATGGTGATATACATTGATTTAGGAATGTCTGTCCCTCCGTCTCTATACACGATAGCTCGAGTAAGAACTGAGATGTCTCATACATTTTAATATCAGCGGAAAATATCGCTTGCACTCGAATTTAGTCTTCCTTACATGTATGAGTTTGTGACCGTCCTGTGAGCAGTGGTATTTATGAATGAACACATTGCTTTGTTGTAGGGCGCATGCGTTTATGAATGAAAATTTTGTGTTTTTCATGATTTCATGTATGTATGGGTCTTTCATATACATACAGTCACCTTTGAATGTGTTTGTTTTTGACTTCAGCTCAACTTGAATTTCTGATTTTTGCAAATTTTGCCATCGTCCCGAAGAAGTCGTTCGTGGATGACGGGGTACAAGGGAAGAGAATTTGCAAGTTTTTGTGCATGTGTCTGTTTTTCGTGTACACATTGTCCTCTTTGAATGTATGTGTCTTTAACTTCAGACCAACTTGAACTCTGATTTTTCTAATATTTTGTCATCGTCGCGAAGAAGAGGTTTGTGGATAGCGGGGTGAAAGAAGGAAGGGCATGCGAGCTATTGAGATTGTGTGCGTTTAACGTATACATATTGAATTGCTTGAGTGTATGGGTTTTAACTTTGTCGCAAGTTCAACATCAATTTCTGACTTTTGACAAAATTTTTGACCGAAACGGCTTGTTGGTGGAGGGAGCCAGGGGAAAGGGATCTCACAATACTATGTGTGTATTTGTATTTTCTACATGTATATGAAGTTATACGTTCTCTGATATAACCAGCCGTCATTCTCAAATGTCAATTTCCACCATAGCGAAATACAATCCACTTTTTACAAATGACATTTCTAAAATCATCTGTGCACAATAAAAACGTTTCCTTGACTTTTTTGCAGTATTGCATTATGTTTTAATAAAAAATCCTTAATTGTGGAAGTAAAAAAATATATAAATATAGAATAATCAAAAGAAACATCTTAAGAGTTTTACATTTAAAATTTACAAGCCAAAGAAAATATGAACGTACGGTTTCTAAGCCGACTGCAGCATCGCTGGAGGTTAGCGGCAGTCAACTTGTAAATAACCTCAATTGACATTTATTCTAGTATTTTTAGGGGATATGCGACCAAACCATCATCATTGTCTGGCGAGGACGTTAGAGTTGGTACCGGTATCGGAAATATAACGGGCAGGGCTCGGGAGGATGCCAGCTCGCTAATAGTGAATCAGCCTTCTACAAAAATTGTCACCCATCTACCGCCCCTAACTGATCCAATTCCAGATCTTCCCGATGTAGAGTATGCCAGGCCCTTAGCCGAAAGTAGTCTAACTCAAGTAACGACCCTGCCAAATGGACTGCGAGTAGCTTCAGAACCAAGATTTGGGCAATTTTGCACAGTTGGACTCGTGATTGATTCAGGTCCACGTTATGAAGTTACCTATCCCAATGGTGTTTCACACTTCCTTGAGAAGTTGGCATTTAATGTATGTAGCAGGAATTTCAAATGAATATAATTATGAAGAAGAAACTTGCTTTTTATGAATTTATCACAATTTTTGCAGTCAACTGAAAAATTTCCGAATAAAGATGCCATTCTAAAGGAGTTGGAAAAAAATGGTGGAATATGCGATTGTCAGAGCTCACGCGACACTCTTATTTACGCCGCAAGCATTGACAGTCGGGCTATTGAATCCGTTACGCGATTACTCGCCGATGTAACATTGCGTCCAACGCTTCATGAGAGTGAAGTTAGTGCAGCTCGCAAAGCTGTGCAATTTGAACTAGAAACCTTGGGTATGCGTCCAGAACAAGAACCGATTTTAATGGACATGATTCATGCAGCAGCATATAGAGACAACACGCTGGGATTACCGAAACTTTGCCCTTCAGAAAATCTTTCATTAATAGATAGGAACGTATTAATGAACTATTTAAAATATCATCATTCCCCACAGCGCATGGTAATAGCCGGTGTAGGGGTATGTTAAGGTAAACTTTCTATTAGAATTCAACAAATTAAAAAAAATTTAATTACCAGGTAAATCATGATGAACTTGTACGAAACGTTGAAAAACATTTTGTTGAAGAAAAAGCAATTTGGGAAACCCAAAGTATAAAAGGGACGGGAGCAACTGAGGTAGATGAGTCAATCGCACAATACACAGGTGGTTTAAAAAAGGTATTAAATGTAATTATTATATAGTATTTCTGGCATGAAAGAGAGGCTCCTTAAAAAGACCAAAAAAAAACACAAATTGGTGGAGGAACTTAGCAGAAAATCGCTTCTTCTGTTAAATTAAATTATTCAGAAAATAATGTCAGAAATCTTCAATATTATACTATTTTTTTTTTTAATTGCATCAGTAACGCAGAGATATTTATTAAATCATTTTTAGGAAGAATGTGAAATACCAATTTACGCTGCTACTGGACTACCAGAACTCGCTCACGTGGTAATAGGGTTGGAAGGTTGTTCTCATCAGGACCCAGATTTTGTGGCGTTATGCGTTTTAAACATAATGATGGGTGGTGGCGGTTCATTTTCCGCAGGTGGTCCCGGCAAGGGGATGTACTCTAGGTTATATACAAACGTTCTAAATCGTTATCATTGGATGTATAGTGCAACAGCTTATAACCATGCATACGCTGATAGCGGTCTCTTCTGCATACACGCCAGTGCGCCTCCTAATAACGTAAGGGACATGGTCGAAGTCATTACACGTGAACTTGTTAATATGGCAAGTGAACCAAGTAAAGATGAATTAAGTCGCTCCAAAATACAATTGCAATCAATGCTGTTAATGAACTTAGAATCAAGGCCGGTTGTATTTGAAGACGTAGGACGGCAAGTTTTAGCTACGGGACATCGAAAGCGACCTGAACATTTTATTCGTGAAATTGGTAATATGAAATTATAAACAAAAATATTTATAAGTGTATACATAAATACATGCTCATTTTTTTCATATAGAAAAAATCAATGAGGGAGACATCCAACGCGTAGCTGGGCGCTTGTTATCTACACCGCCATCAATGGCTGCCCGAGGTGATATAGGGAAATTGCCAGAAATGAAGGAGGTGCAAAATGCTCTTAGTAATGGTGGCCGCCTATCGTCACGGAGGCTCTCACTTTTTAAGTGAAAATCCATGTATATATTTTGAAGAGAGCATTAAGGCTTTGTATAGGTAACATAATCGAAATATAACGGTTTGGAATATTGTAACGATTTGTATTCCAATGAATTAAACTCAAACATTACGATTCCCTAGATCATTTCATTGAAAATATGCGTACTGATTCAAACCTACGGCAAAGCTACGTAAATCTCTTTTCTGAGAATAAGCACTGTTATTATATGCCTACGTACATATGTGATGAAAAGCTATTTTTTTCTCTACAAGGTAGGGAGCCGCAAAAAATAACCTTCCTGAACAAACTTTTGTTTATGTGTCCTGATTGAATCGTAAATAATATTCTGAATAATATATGGTTACGCACTTCAAATCAGGTTTCAAAATTGGATTAATAAATTATTTTTCTGTACGAACCAAGCTCTACGAATGGTCCTTTACTCGTAAGAAACAATGTGAGCCGAATACGTGTATGTTAAACCAAAACCAAATAAGTATTTTTTCAAATATTGAATTATTTCCAGTTTTTATTAGATTCAATACAGTAACGGGTTGAAATTATTAATTTAATCGGTTTGCGTTAGCCATGTTTTTTTTTTTTAATTTTCTACTATCAGACGGCACACCAACAAAAGAGGTGATAACACTTTGTTAACGAAGTTGATAGATAATGTAATATTTGACAGCAGATTAACTGCTAAGCTCCCCTGACTCAATGTCAGAATTTGATGATACATCCTCCACTAAATCTTTTAGGTCGTGAAGTATCTCGTTTGCAGACAATTTGGACGAATCACTTTTAACAGGAATTGCTGTAACTAAACTTTCCCCAAAGCAATCATCACTGCTGACATCCTCACAATTTCTTTTGTTGACGCTTTGGCCATCCTCAACATTGATACACAAATTCTTAGATGTAATTGAGCTTGTCATACATTGAAGGGAACTTCTTCTTTTAGTGAGTTTTCTTTTCCTTACATTTTTGACACATTTTTCTAGCTCTTCGTTACCGGAACTTGTACTAGCGGCACTGCTTTGACTTGACTGGCTTGATATTCCTAAAATAAAAAATATGAAATTTTTGTTATAGATAAAATGGTGAATTCAACAAACTTTTGCTGTTAACAGTTTTGTGTTGATTGTTAACTTCACTCATATCATCATCTGGCAATTCATCGCTGGAAATGTCTTCTCGTATTCGATACTGTTTTGGGAGATGCGATTCGTCTTCCATTGAATTAATAGTTTTTGGCTTCTTCTGGTCGCTAAACATTTCCTCAAAATCAGCCCTAAGTTCACTGCCTTTTTGTTTCTTAATGCTCTTGGCTATAACGCGCTTTTGATGATCCAACTGAGGGAATAAATCCCGGGAATTATCCAAGGCTTGTTTTGCGGCATTCATTTCAGCCTGCTGAATAGATGAACCGGTCGCTGTCGCCAGACGTTTGGAACGAAAATAAACTGCAACCGTATAAACTCTTGTATTTGTTGGACCAATAGATTCGATCACCTTATAAATAGGAATATCAGGCTCTCCTCCTTCCATAGTTCGCAAAGTAAGGCAACATTGTTGCAGTTTTGATTTGGGATCATTCCAGTCTTGATTCATGATGAATATTTGCAACCGGGGAAATAGGCAAACATGACAGAACTGTTCGCAATATAGGAGGCCTTTGTCGACGTAGAGTGCACCCAAAAAAGCTTCTAACAAATCAGCACGATCCTTGGTCTTAAGTTCCACTTTTGGATTAGAATAAACTGCATATTTGGTCATACCAAGATCATCACACACAACCGCTTGTGTACGGTTATTCACAAGAGAGGAACGAAGTAAAGACAAATGACCCTCGTGATGCTCGGGAAAATGACGATAAAGATATTCCGAACAAATTAGTTGTAGAACAGTGTCTCCTAGAAACTCTAAACGTTGATTAGATCCCAATGTGAGATGTGTAAAACCAATTGATCGATCAGTAAAAGCTCGAGCTAGTAAACGTATATGTTTAAACTGAATACCGATAGACTCTTCAAATTTGGTCAATTCTTGCAGCACAGGATAAGAAGATATACAAGAACGATCACCTGAATATATAATATTTTAAAAGATACAAAAAAAAGGTATTGAAATATTTGGATGATTTCGTAAAAATTACATAAAAACAATAGGTTATATTAATTACCACCATAAACAAGGGTAAATCAAGAGCGTGCTTACCCAAAGGCTCCTGTTCTTGAAGGGGATGTTCAGGATAGTTTTTCCAAATTTCTTTTAATTGTTCATTTTCCATATATAGAGCATTCATAAAAACTTCGTCAGCTATCGATATACCACCATCAAGTAATAGAGCACCCATTAAAGCCTCGAAACAGTTAGCCATTGCATGCCGCAATTCTAATTCATGACATAAATCAGAGCCATGAGCATAGAGCATATACTCTTCCAAATGTAACTTTTTCGCCAGTAATGCCAAATGTTGATTCTGAACAATGGCCGCACGATATGTCGCCAATCCGCCTTCTTCCAAATCGGGAAACATGAAAAACAGGTGAATTGAGCTTAAAAATTCTACAACAGCATCTCCTAAGAACTCCAATCGTTCGTTATGAGTTATATTTGACATCGTTTCATATTCCTTGCCAAATCTAGACATTATATTTATAAGTGTGTTGATGCCGCGTTTTCTTGTATTCAGATAATGAATTTTACGATCACCATATTCCGGTTGCCGTATACCACAATTTGTTAGTGAGTTTCTTGCATGATCAGGGTTAGTACCATAATTTTCTTTGTAGGAAGGATGTGTTAGCGCCAATTGTAATAGATATCTGAAAGCAATTACAATATATTCGACGCAAGTGAATAAATTGAAAAATGTAAGGTGATCACTTACCGATTCTTGAAACTGTAACCAATGCTCTTTTCCAAAAAATCAAGTGATCTATGGAACCGCAAGTGGCCGGTAAGTACCGGGATGAGCATTGCATGCTGCACAATATCACACATTATGCCGGTTCTATAATAATCCTTCGAGCTCACTGCTACTGTTACGTTACGCTTCATACGGCCCTGCGTCCGCATTTCCTGTAAGCGTGCCTCCTTTTCCTCCAGCTTACGCTTATCATCGAAAGATGGCTTCGACATATTGGCCATGAGATGACGATATTTAACATACTCCCTCCATGCTTTCTGATACTCCGGATTACCAGCGTAGCTCAGTTGTGGTGGCCGTATACCAAAATGAACAATTGCGGGATGCGTAACATTTTCTTCTGCGTCAAAGCATTCAGGCAAATCGGCCACATTACGATCTAATTGGTCAACTCGTACCGAACATGGTTTGTATCCAGGTTTTGTCACAAGCATACCTTTTATAAAATCAACGTAATCTTGCCACTCATGCTGGCTGATATCGTTAACACAGTGTAATTGATCTGGATGAACAAGTGGCGCTGCGCTATCAAGGAGATATCGCAATACTTCGCTTATGGCCAATACTTCCTTCCCATTATCGGGCAGGTCTCTTACAAAACGTGGTAGGAAGTGAAAGGCAGGGCAAGTATCAGAATCTGACATCCCATCAGGGTAAAGTGAAAAATCGACTAGCTCGAGAAGTTCATGAAATAAGTACTTATCTAAGATGTAAAATAAAAAATGAGCAAATAAAAATATAATCAAAAATCTAGAAGACTTACTCAGCAACTCCAATTCTCTTATTGTAAAATTCTCAGGCATTTTTTCAGCAACATATAAAATGGTATACTCAATATTGAAACGGATAACTTTACATGTTGGTAAATCCGCAAGAGGAGAATGCGTTAACATAGAAAATCCTTCGAAAATGAATTCGTGCTCATCATGTTTTATTATTGTTGGCGTTTTAGTAAGAAAATTTGTGGGAGGCGAAATAGTAATTTTATAATGGTAAAGTTGTGACGCATTATTTGAATTCATAACACATTTCTTATATCCAGTTTCACCAGGATAAATACCGTGCCGAATACCAATACGTCGTGATTTTGCGGAACAACGACAGAGAGGACCATCATTCATTTCTCCAGAATCATTATGCCATAAATCAGCATGAACTCGATAAGGATGTTGCAATTTTCTAGAGAGTTCCTCCATACAGCAATCTTGCTCTATTTTCAATTCATCATCTGACGAATCTTCCGATGATGACGAACAAGCTTCAGATTTGTGTTTACATAAGCGACGACGAGGCTTTCGTGCAGGCGGGTCGTGGGAAGGTAAACATTTCCGTACTCCTTCAGCGCGTTGTACTAACTTTTCTTCGAATAAATTACAAAGAGCTTCTAATCTGCTCGTGGATAAAACTTCATTTGGGATATTTGTTCTCCTATAAAAAGGATCTGCAGGAGACGATCTTATCCAAACAGTTCGTTGTTCTTCATCTTGTTCAACCAATTCTGCTAATTTTGCTTCGATATCTTCAGAAGTTTCACAGTAATTTGATCTCCAACTTTTCAACAGCCTGTCCCTTTCTGTCTCCAATTTTTGTTCTTTAATACCGACCCGTGATTCAGTAATTCTTTCACGTTGGTACCTACCAATATCTGAATATTTTGCATATCCGTAATTTCTGCAAAGTAAATGTTCGTTAGACTTTATTATTAGTAATATTCTTAATATAATTGTTATAAATGAGCTTTTTATTTACAATCTGGTTCAGCGCGTTAAATACCTCCCGATGCAAACATCCTTACAAACATTTAACCTAAGTATAATGGGCTCAGCACCAAAAACTGTGCTTTCATACATATTTATAAAGTATACCTTTGAGACGATGTCGGCATAAAATGTTGACGAGATATGTGCGGTTGTATAGGTGCATTGCGATAATTTATCCTCGATGTTTTGTTAACTGGATTTGACGATATTTTGTTCTGCTCATAGAAATACGATCTCTCGTTTGCAGGACCATAGTAATTACTTATATTCGGCTCGTAATCTGTTCCTCTTCTGTACGGCCGATGACGGTTGTCATCATACTTTATTTTTTGGTAGTTGTATTCGTTTTTTGTAGAGCCGTATGAATTATACTCCTGTTTCTTCATAGCTGGAGGTGGCACATTAAAGCCTCCTTCATATGTATATTTATCAGCAAAGCTACCTGGTTCCCGATAAGTGGAATAACATGGTTTTCCGGTGTCAGTAAAGGATCTTTGATAGAACGATGAGGGATGAAATCTACTTGCACCATGCTCTTGCGATATCGAAGGTGTTACAAAATTGCTGTTTATAATAGTTGTCGGAGTTAAATGAGGAGAATCTGATGATAAGGAAGATGAAGGCGGTGGAGGTGGAACTGGCGGCAATCCAGGTGGTAGTGGTGGTGCCGCCTTATTCTGTTCACCTTCTGCTGGTAAAGGTGGTATTGAATGTTGATAATTCATTTAGTTTATTTATTCACACTATACAAAAAGTTTTAAAACAAAAACAAGTAAACCAAAACCGGCCTACAGCTGCTGCAGCCCACAACAAAATGTTATAGGGATGACACTAACTTATGATAAGAGACGATCAAATGAACGTAATCGTAAGTCGGAAGTAATTCCAGAGAACGTACAGAGCAGAGAACGTATACCGCGGCGTGCCGATTGCCATTTGTTCCAACTACGGGATTGCTAAGAGACTACCAGCAGAGAACGTAAATATAACGAGAAGGTTCAATCAGAGAACGTAAATATAACGAGAAGGTTCAGGGCGTGCCGATTGTCATTTTGTTCCGCTTCGCAGTCGACGCCAGTTTTCTATGGATGCATTTCACCCCAGATTTCGATGAGCCCTGTTCACCACATTTTAACAGAGAACTAGCAGAATTGTGCTCAAAATAGTAGAATCAGTACAATAATGAGAATTTCCATGCAAAATAAATGTAAAATGATAAAAACCTATTGAAGATAAATGTAAACAGCATACATGTATTATCAGAAACTTCTGATTTCAATTTATGTTTATTTGCTTATTTTAATTTGCAATTTTACTAATTTTTGGAATTTACTATTTTATTTTTATTTACTTACATATTTCTAATTTTTCTAATAATTTTTTAATGATAAAATTATTGGTAGTCATTATAATTGAGATATAACAAAACAAATTTAAATTAATTCTTTCATATATTATTCATTTTTGGCGTAAATATCGAAATAAGTAAACAAGTCAATATTCATTCATAATTTAAACGTATGAGCATGCGTACATACATACATATGTACATATTATATATGTATGTACATATGTTTGCTTATGCGTATTAAGAAGAAGCAAAACGTACACATCTAGCATAAAAAAAAGCCATTCCATCACCATGACAACACTATTTTAATAGCAAAAAAGTCCTTCTCGAGACGAACGCTGGCGCACCGTCTACCAAACGAGCTGCGCAGACAGCACACAACTCCCCGCATGCGACTCGCCTACAAACCAAAGTGCCAAAAATTGAAAGTTGAGCAAATTTGTGTCTTCTTCGACAACAGCAAATCGCGCACTCGATAGAGTGAACTTTTTGTTAAGAATTACAAAACTTATTTAAAATGAATGCCAAACAAATGTTTAGAAAAAAGTCTCATTATTTTTAAACATGGGCTTTTTCATTTAATTTATGTTTAGAAATTCGAGAACAAGTAAAATTTAATCGAAACTTTCAATCGATGAGGAATTAATTCACTATATACAAATGACGCCTATAATTTCTAAAACTTCCTCGATTTTTAAATTAATGCATATTTTAATTATGAAAAATACAGGATTATTATTTAAAAAAGTTAATTAACTTAGGAAATTTAAAGATTTCAATTCAAATTTCAAATCTGTGAAGTTATATACGAATCACTCCTATAGCTGTTGACTAGCGACTGATATATTCCTGGTATACAAAGTTTACTGTACCAGAATTCGTACACCAAAATGCCAAAAATATGAAATCTAGCAAAATTTTGTGATCGTCGCGAAGAAATCGCTTGTGGATGGCGGGGTATAAGAGTAAGGGCTCGGGCATTATTAAGATTGTGTGCGTTTTGCGTATACATATTAAATTGCTTGCATGTATGGGTTTTCACTTTGCGTGAGTTCAACATCAATTTTTCGATTTTTGCTAAAATTTGACTTTGACTTGAGGAAACTGTTTGTTGATGAAGAGTCGTCTTCATTGAAATCGAACATTCTAGAATGTTCTAGAATTTTCTAGAACTTTCAGAATAATATAAAAATCCTCGCCACAATTCAACTTGTTGGACAAGGTGCATGCGGGAACGCAAGGAAATTGCTTGCTGTGCTATATGAAGTAATAGGCGAACAGCAAATTAAGTTGCACGATGGCTATTTGCTTCAGTTCTGCAGACGATGATTGAATTTTTGTCAGTCGCAAGAATTTGAATCAATGCTTGTTGACAATTTATGAATGTTACGGGTTGAAGGAAAAGGGCATGCTTTGTACGTTGTTGGTGTTGCTTCACTTTTCGCGACCATAATGATTTTGTGTGTTTGTGTTTTTTGACACTGTCGCGAAGTATCAACTTGTTGGTATGGCATGCGCGGTGGTGTTTATGAATGGGCGTAATATGCTTTGTTGTAGGGCGCAGGCGTCTATGAATGAAAATGTTATTGTTGTATTTGATTTCAGCTTTTAGAGGGAAGTATGTTTTCACATAAGCAATGTGTTTGTATGTTTTTGCATATGCGTGTAAGAATACTTTTACATATGTATGCATGCATATATATCTTGAGGCAGGTCAGTATTTTGTATGTTGTATACACATGTACTTATGAACAAAAGTCTTTTTTATTTATAAGTTAATAAAATCAAACATCTCATTAATACGTTGAAATTACAAATCATGAATAAATTATCCTCTATAAAAAATGATATTGCGAAATGCCGACGGCAAATCATCCCTTCATAAGGACATACTTTTACTATTAGATAATAAAGAAGTTTGAAAAAGATGTCAAATACATTAATGAAATAAATCCTTTCACCCCCATTCCAAAAAATATATTAATAATTTGAGAATAATATTTTCGTTTATTTTGATAAAAAGGCTAGAAAAATTCGTTATCTAAAGTTAGCATAAACAATGTTAGTTGCAGACAGATCAGTACATTGCTGAGCATATTTAATTTTGCTACGCTCAGTAATGTTATGCATCAATAGCAAACTCTGTTAGTTTCTGGCGGCCTGTGGTGAAATGCATCCATCGTAACTTGGCAGCTTTTGACAGTTTACACGCTGGTCCGCAATTGAACCTTCTCGTTATATTTACGTTCTCTGGTTCAATTGCGGACCAGCGTGTAAACTGTCAAAAGCTGCCAAGTTACGATGGGTGCATTTCACCACAGGCCGCCAGAAACTAACAGAGTTTGCTATTGATGCATAACATTACTGAGCGTAGCAAAATTAAATATGCTCAGCAATGTACTGATCTGTCTGCAACTAACATTGTTTATGTTAACTTCAGATAACGAAGTAGGCTTTTTATCAAAATAAACGAAAATATTATTCTCAAATTATTAATATATTTTTTGGAATGGGGGTGAAAGGATTTATTTCATTAATGTATTGTACATCTTTTTCAAATTTCTGTATTATCTAATAGTGAAGAATTTCCTTATGAAGGGACGATTTGCCGTCGGCATTTCGCAA